CCTCTCTCTCTCTCTCTCTCTCTCTCTCTCTCTCTCTCTTCTCAGAATCTAGAAGAGAGAGAGAGAGAGAGAGGGTGGAAATTTATTCGATCTCCTTTCCTGCGAAATCCGCGACTCTTTCGAAAGAAGCGGCCGCGCGTAGATCTCGGGGGACTACGTGTTATTAATCACGGCGCGCAAGCGTGGCCGGTGGTCTATCGCGATGATTAATAACATTTTCAAAGACGACCAAACCCATTAACCATCCGTGGAGATACGTCGGGATCGTTGAACCGAGCACCGAGGAATCCAACTTTCGTAATCCGGCGCGAAGAGCGCGCCGATCGGTGGACCGCAATAATCGTTATTGATGGCCGGTTGCTCAACCGCGGAGAACAGCGACGAACCACGCCGCCAGATGTCGGGCCAGACTTATTTTCGCTTCGAATTCCGGCGAAATCGCACGTCCATCATCGTCGTCGTCGTCGTCGTCGTCGTCGTCGTCGTCGCGATCAGATAGCGAGAGCGAGAGAGAGAGAGAGAAGGAAGGAACGAACGAGAGAAAGAAAGAGAGAGAAGCGGGGCCTCATCCACGGTGAATCGCGGCCTTCCCGAGGTCTAGAGAACGCGTGCAATTGTACGATCGAGTATAAACGTGAGACCAACGCCTTATTTCTCAGACTCCCCGGTATCCCTTGGATCAGCAGGCTCGCCGCTCGGGATCCAGCCGGCGGACGCACCTTCACCCATAAACTTTCCTGCTCCAGGGGAGAGCATGGCCGACACCTCGACCCTGTCGCCGGAGGCTAACATGCCGGGCTCGCCGGGCTGCCCCGTGGTCAAAGTGAAAAGCGAGTATCTGCTTGGCATCCCGAGCCCGGGCACGCCGCGGGATCCTGTTCGCGGGGCGGCAAGCGTCGGCTTGGAACACCCCCGGGATACACCCTGCTCGGACCGCGCCTCCCCCGACTCAGTCTTCCCGGACGCCGGCACGATAGTTGGGTACAGGGTGGTCGAGGAACAGCAGCAACCGCAACACCATCAACAACAACAGCAACAACGTTCCGGCACGCCTACCATACCCACCAGGCTGTCGCCTTACTCCCCGATCCAGTCCACGGTGTCCACGACCCCGATGGAGCAACCGAGCTCGAGGAGCGACAGCCCCGAGAAGGCCGACCTGTCCTCGGCCCAGACCAAGGAGGAGTCCGACAACTCGGTTTTCGACGGGGGAGGCGGCGGTGGCAGCGGTGGCGGCGGCCGTTCCGAGACCTCGAGCCAGCCTAGTCACCGGAGCAGCCCGTCCTCCCAATACAGCCCCAGCCAGAGCATGAGCCCTGGCGCGAGCGTTGCCCAACAGCAGCAAACACCCCTCAGACCGAGAGTGCCCTCGGTGCCCCCCCACCTCTTGGCCCACCATCAATTTTGGTCGCAGAACAACGGTATACAGGGGTTCGCCACCCAGAGGCTGCTCAACGGCGTGATCAGCAGCGCCGTCAATTACGGGCAGACGGTCGCTGTCGCGTCGACGAGTAGCGGGACCACGAGCTTGAGCAGCAGCAGCAGCAGCAGCAGCAGCAGCAGCAGCAGCACGGGGAGCAGCGGAACGGGGCAACCTCGACGAGCGCCGCGGCGACCGCGACAGGGGCGGCCTCCTCGTGTAAGCGTCGACGACGACCGTCGTTCACCCTCTCTCGGATTAATCACGACCCCCTCCCTTCTTCTTAATTTTGCAGGCGAGACGATGAAACCGCCGGCGCAGAGGCCAGCGCCCGCACCCCCGAGGCCACCGCCCACCGTGATAATGGGCGAGATCGGCGGCGTCCGGACGATGATCTGGTCGGCGCCACCGTTGGACCCGGTTCCGCCCCCGGCCGCCTCGTGGACGGCGACCGCGGCCGCCGCCGCGGCGGCCGCGTCCTGCTCCTCGACGGAGGAGTCGGCCGCCCAGCTGCTGCTCAACCTCGGCCAGGAGTCGAGGGGGAAGCCGGCCACGGCGGTCCCCTACTCGTCCGGGCCCCCGCTCAACATGGAGAGGCTGTGGGCCGGGGACATGACGCAGTTGCCGGCCGCCCAGCAGATGCAGGCGCTCAACCTGACCGCGTCCGGGTCGGGCGGCCAGGCGTGGGAGAGGAACGGGGGGGTGGTGAAGTCGGAGGCCGCCTCGCAGCCGATGTCGGTCGCGCCCCCCGCGCCCCCTATGCCGCCGCAGGAGCACGAGGAGGACGAGACGCCTATGATATGCATGATCTGCGAGGACAAGGCGACCGGCCTCCACTACGGGATCATCACGTGCGAGGGGTGAGAAACTCTTCCAACGAACTCTCACCTTTCCGTTCTTTGCGTTCTAACGTGGACGGGGATATATGTATGCGGTTTCCTCGAGGTTACCGCGTCACGTATATTTTCGTCGACGAGATGTCTCCTTTCGTGCGGCAGGAGGAAGCAGCTTTTTCTCGATTGGGGGGGGGGGGAGAAGAGATAATTTTGAAGGATAAACGATTAAATAGGTTTTCTTTTCTTTCCTTTTTTTCTTCTTTTCGAGTTTTCTTTCAAGGTGGAGGGGAAGAGACGTGGCTGATTAGTCGGTAAGGTTACTACAGGGTATCGTTGCTCGCGCTAGTTTCTTCAATGTCTGTTCGACCGATCCCCTAGAAATTAGTTGGAAAAACTCGACGACGATCCCCTGCGTGCCTGCGTAATTCCCCGCCTGTGAATCTTTAATCGGTAGTTTCTAGTATCGAGATACTCTCCCCTCCCCCCTCGAGAGATAAACTTTGGCGAGTTGATTCCCTCGGAGAAGAGGGGGCAAAAAAAAAAAAAGAATGCTTTAATGAAATCGTAATCCTGTCTCGCTTTTTTTTTTTTTTAAAAGGCGCGATATTTTTCGTTTACGCGAGATTCTCTCTTATTATATATATAACCGGGTGAAACAGCGTGTGAAATTACGTATGCGCAGGTGTAAAGGTTTCTTCAAAAGGACTGTACAAAATAGGCGAGTGTACACATGCGTGGCGGAAGGTGGTTGCGAAATCACAAAGGCCCAGAGGAACAGGTGTCAGTACTGTCGTTTCAAAAAGTGCATTGAACAGGGTATGGTCCTTCAGGCGGTTCGAGAAGATCGGATGCCTGGGGGAAGAAATTCTGGTGCTGTGTATAACCTTTACAAGGTTGGTATCCACATTTTTACCATACACGCGCGTTGTCGGGAAAAGACACGAGCTCGAAACCTCGGATCGATCTTCTAATTCTTCGTCAATTTTGTTCACACACACATATATATGTGCATATATATGGTCGTATTCGAACGTGATTAAATTAAGAAAAGATACGAAATGATCGATTTTAATTTTAAAACTCCAAATGAATTAATAATAATTAGAAAATTATTTACGTAATTAAATTTTATTTTGCAAATCATTATTAATCGTAATATCCCGTAATTTTAATGATAATAGATATAGCTTCGATACCTTAGCTTTTATATAATAATCCATAAATAAACGATGAATAATAATATATATAAATTTAAATTTATTATTTCTATTATCGTCAAAATATTAAAACCTACGTTCAATTCATCAGATGTAATAAATAATATATAATACAGGTAAAGAAACACATATATACAAACTTTTCTTTCAAATAACAATAATAGGGATATTGAAAAAAGAGAGAAACGTATTCGAGCGTTAATGAAACGTGATTGTTTTCTTCTTCTTCTCCTGACGATAACGACGATTAATTTTACCCCGTTTTCCGTTCGTTTCATGCGTAAGGTGAAGTACAAAAAGCACAAGAAAAGTAACAAAACGAGCGGAGTGGGTGGAGGCATGGGTGGCATAAGCAGCGGGGGTAACGTTGGCGGTGTGAACGGGTCGGGGTCCCTCGGCGGTAGCAAGAGCACCATGGGTTCGACGATGCTCGACAAGCACATGGCCGTAGCCGCGGTCGCCCACCATAGCCAACAGCAGCACGTCCAGCTGGCCGGCGGTTTCCTTCATCATCACAAGATCACGTCCGGCGACCCGCTCAACTCGCAATCTACCACCAGCCACTCGAGTCACCCTGCGCATTCGGGCCACCTGGTCAACGGGACGATCCTCAAGACGGCGCTCACCAACCCCTCCGAAGTGAGTACAATCTTTAATTTCTAATTTTTTTCACCAAAAATCGTCTCACCGCGATCCAATAGTAGAGATCTTCGCGTCTCTTGGCGTGTTATTTCCAAGTCGAATCGATCGACTTTTCAACCATGGACAGGCGTGTTTATATTTCTCGAAAGGAAAAGAAGAAGAAGGAAGAGAAATAGATCGGTTTTCTAAAAGAAGAAACGAGAAAGAGATACGTCGTTGTCGCGCGCGATTAACGTTTTTTACTACGTGTTTTTCTTGCTCCAAGTTTGCGAGCAACCGTGACGCAACACGGTTGGCTCGATTTCACGCGATGCGTCTGCGCGATAACTCACGAAAGCGCGCAAGATATACACTTTGCGAGAGAGGTTCCATATTTCTCTATCGGGATCTCCATCTCGGGCCAAGATTATCTAACGAGCCAACCACCATTATATACGTATTATATACGTGTGAAGCGCGTTTTTTTCTCTCTCCTGTCGACGCTCTCCACACACACACACACACACACACACAACACTCCGCGAGCTCTCGCGTTATAGATCAACGTCGCAACCGGTGCAATCGTGGCGCACAACCGATTTCCAGTGATTTATTCGAGGCGGCTCGTTAGAAATCGAGCGGCGGGTCGACAAAAGTTGATCCATTTGCGCCGGGAGAATGCACCGGTGGCGGTGATGAGAACGTGTATCTTCACTTTCACTTTCGAATCACCAGCTGCACGCGATCGCGATCTTTCCTGCGAAATATTTCCTTCTTCTCGTCGTCGTTCGATTCGAGTTTTCTCTTCGAAGCTTCCCACTTAGTTTTCATGCTCGATGATAATCGGGAAAACGAATATTTTCTTCGTATTCGCGCGCGATGAGGTCACGCAGGAAACGAATATACGCGATTACAAAACCAATCGCGCGCGTTCTCATTGCTTGTTGGAGGAGGTTAGCAGAAAAGTTTAAACTCGATCGATCCTCGAATGTGAGAAACTAGCACGCGATGATGTAAAGAACGAGTCCGCTTTTCCGTGATCAGCCATACCTATGCTAAAATATCTCGTGGAAAATATATATATATATATAAAATTAAATTGAATTAAAAGCGAAACGAAGGGGAGGGAAAATGATCGAATTCGAGCAATATTTTTGATCGGTTTCGAGCGGAACAATCTTGAAATATGAATGAACTCCACGTTGCAATTTCACTTTCTTACGAGTCCGCTTGCGCAAGTCTCAAGGTTTCCCACATTACGAAAGCCGATAGATAGAAGGAGCGAGCGGTGGTGGTGGCCGTCTCGCATGCCTTTTCGTACTCGTCCAAACGCAGCATTATCTTTTACATCGTGAAAGCGTTTCCTTATTAGAGTCCTATCTATCCGACTCGACAATCGAAATGATGCCGATTTTCTCACGAATCGCAACGTTCTGCGATATTTCTTTTCCTTTTTTTTCGTCGTTAATCGATACGGATATGGACGGACAACGATCTGATCAGATCTAATTCGTCATTTTCGAAAAATTTCTGTCTTTCATTTTGCATTATTCGTGTCTATAATTCGTATAATTAACAATTAAATTTTCGCTGCTATAAATTATAGCAAAACGGTCTGTCCACAAATTTCAACGTTTCCTTATTATTTTTTTAACAAAAAAAAAAAAATTCCGAACCAGCAGTTGAAATTTATTTATCGTGACGTGGCTCTCGATCAATGCCAATAAATCTAAGATTAAACGATACCACTTCTATTACTAAAATTACTTAAAAAAAAAGAAAAAGAACACGGTAAAGGAATCGAAGAGAACAAGGTTTCGTCGCCCTCGAAGATTCTTGACCGAAAGAGTTGGCGGGGTTGGACGATGATCGATGGGCGCGATGAGAAATATGGAGATCGAAGGGCGCGCGTTACACGGTTCGCGGAGCACGTGAGGTATGCAAACAACGAGAAGAATTACCGGGAACGGTCAGAGAGCTTGGGTAGAGGCCATTGCCAAAAGTGAAATCGATGACTCTCCCCGGCCCGGATAAATATTGGCCCGTGGATGGAGCGTAGCGGCATTAAGGAGGTCACTTTCCATCTCCGAATCCTTCGATTCGCGGCAACTCGAATAGCGAACTCGCGCTAGAAAATTTCTCAAAAAAAAAGAAAAAAAGTTACAAACGATATCTTACCATCCGCTTTTTCCATCTACTCAAAAAAGGTAATCCAAGAAGCGAGAGCTCCACTCTTTCGATAATTCTAAAATTAGCAATCTCTCGGTTTTCGTAGAAGAAAGAATAGATATATATACGTAGATCGATTAATTTTGATCGAAAATACAAATACAGAAGAGGAGAACGTATTGGAAAAATCGGCTCGAAGAAGGAGAGAAACACGACGACCGCGAGGAGTCCGGTAGGAGAGTAGGGACAATAGAAAATCAGCGACAACCGGTGCCAAGGACGGGCAGTTCTCCGCCGGTTTCGTAACTCGTGAAAGTCTGCACAAGGGACACTGACCTCACCCTACCTCCTTCTCTTCCTCCTCCAACACCTTCTCCTCGTCCCTCCACCTCCATGAGATCGCCGCCTCCGGCGGCGAGAGACGCGTGTCCCACGGCTTCATCGCGTTCCTCGTTCCTCGCGAAACCTGAGGGTATACAACGGCGGCTTTCCCCTCGAAACGTGTCACGGGGGAAAAGCACGGACCTCGCTCTCCCCTCGAATCGCGTATAAAGTATGTATATATATATACTCTAGAAATACCGACCTCGAGGTACTTCCTCGATGGATTGAAAGGTCAGTGAAAGGCCGGATCGGATTTACGTAGGAAGCACGAGTCCGTTCTTCTTCTCCGTTGTCGCGGATTGTCCAAATTGTCGCGAGAGAGAGAGAGAAAGAGAGGGGGAGATGATTTTTTTATTTATAGGAAAAAAATGTTTCGTTTGTTTTTTTCTTTTTCAAGGTGGTACACTTGAGGCAGAGGCTAGACAACACGGTAAGCAGTTCGAGGGATCGATCTTTCCCTTTCGACGCGACTGTCGCCATGATCCAGTCCCTCATAGACTGCGACGAGTTCCAAGATATTGCCACGTTGAGGGTATACGCTTGTTTTTAATTTTCAATATTTATTTAATCGTCGAAATTGAAAAACCCTTTGCCGACGATTCATCTCAATGATTAAAATGTGTATAATATTACAAATAGTTAATAACACTTAATAACAAAGAGAGAAGCACGTATTGTTTTTGGGATGAGAAAATATTGTATAGCTTTCGTCCGAGCAAAGAGTTCGTCGATCTCGCAAGATTTTAAGATTTAAGATTCTTTCCCCTTTCCGGGATGGAATCTGAATTTTAACCTCGCTCATGCGAGCGCCCCTCCACCGTTTTATACGTTGCAGAACTTGGACGAGCTGCTGGACCATAAATCAAACTTAAGCGACAAGCTGTGTCAGATAGGGGACAGTATAGTGTACAAGTTGGTGCAGTGGACCAAAAGGTTACCGTTTTACCTTGAGCTACCGGTCGAAGTTCACACGACATTGCTCACCCACAAGTGGCACGAGATCCTCGTGCTGACCACCTCCGCCTACCAGGCGATACACGGTCAACACAAGTTCTCCAACGTCGGCAGCGACGCGATGGGAGCGGATTTTATGCAAGAAGTAATTACCTCTTTTCTTTTCTTTTCTCCTTCCCTTTCCCTCCTATCTTACGATCGTTGGCTGCCCGACTTATTTGGCCCGCATAATAACTTTTTTCTCGCCTCAACAACATTCTTACCTTTTCGGTAGTAATAAAAAAGTAAAATATGTCAAAAATGCTTCTTTACGTCTGACATCTTTGTTATCACGCACGAGAAACACAACCGCGCAGAATCGAACGAATTTTTCTTAACAACACGAAGTTCAGAATGAAGTTGGCTGAAGATAAACGTTCGACTAGCGACGCTCGTGTGAAAAAACGAAATTACTTTCTGAACAATCCAATACCATCCGCGGATAAAGAACTTTCTCTTTAAATGACTAATATACAGATTGTATCCCACAACGGGAAAATAAATAACCAGCACCTGCACAATCGTATCTATCGAAACGCGCCTTTTTTCCCCTAGTTACTAAGACGTAATTGATAACATAAATCTAAGAGTAGAAGAGTACTTTCTACGGTTTCGAGCGTGAACGTGAAACTTTCTACTTTGGAAAAAGTAGGATTGACAGAGAGTTTAGAGAGGAGAGGTGTATTTTTTGATTTTTGTTAATTGGATTAACAAGTGAATGTATCGAATATACGGTGTTGTGCACAGGTTTCGAACAACATGTATACGTTGCAAACGTGCCTAACGAACATGATGGGTCGGCCGATAACCATGGACCAATTGCAGCAAGACGTGGGCCTGATGGTGGAAAAGATTACGTATGTCACGTTAATGTTCAGGAGGGTGAGATTACGGATGGAGGAGTACGTCTGTCTGAAAGTAATCACCATGCTCTCGCAAGGTAAGTATATCCCAGTATCCAGATTTTCATCGTTGAAAACAAGCATCGTATTGCTACATACAGTAAGTAGTATCGCTGATATGAAAGATATAAAAAGAGTACTTTTTTTTTTTTTTTTGCTAATGCAATTGGCAAAACAATATAAGTAAGTTTTCGTATTATAGATTGTAGTAACTATTCGATCGATCATCGAAGCGTGGAAAATAATAAATAAATAAATAAATAAATTCTCGCTTCTTCCTCGAGACGAAAGAAAAAAAAAATAAAAATTGAATCAAGGATCGAATAATTACAAAAAAAAAAAAGAAAAAAAAGAGTAATTACGTCGTTACGAGCGAGACGATTAATTACGAAAGAAGACGCACGCTTGTTCGAATCAGTCCATCCATCCATCCATCCATCAGCCATCCTTCACACTCACGGATCTCTTTCTCTTTCTGTGTCTGTCCTCTCTTAGCACGTGGAGGTACGATGGAATTAGAACATCTACAAGAACGGTACATGAGCTGTCTGCGAAGTTTTGTCGAGCACAGCGCCCCTCAACAGCCGAATCGGTTTCACGATCTTCTCGTCAGGTTGCCCGAAGTAAGTCTGACAAATAAAGAAATTTCCCCTGGTTGGTGGTTCGTCGCGCGAATCGTTTAGATTTTCACTCGGGTCGGTGATATATATATACATACATACATACGAACATGAAGAATAAATTGAGTGGGAAATGGAAATAAAGAAACAAAATAGAGTAGAGTAAAAAGGGGGGTTTTTTTGAAATTTACGAAAATTAGAGACAGAAAATTTCGAATTCCTGTAAATTATCGCATTGTTCTGTTATACCGACCGTTGTTTCATTGTTTCAAGTACGGAACAATAACAGATCTAAGTCGATCCTGTTTTCTTCATGAATTCCAGGTACAATCGGCGGCAGCTCTTCTACTCGAGAGTAAAATGTTCTACGTTCCTTTCCTATTGAACTCAACAATTCAAAGATAGTAAATAAAAAACAAACTGACGATAAACGAAGCTGAATACCTATATATACATACT